TGTTAATTTTTCTTTTTCTTTTTGATTCTCGTTTAAATAATGTTTTAAATGGCTAAAATGATCAGTTACTAAAGCTTCTCTTTGTTTATTTGTTATTTTTACTTTTCCTTCTTCTGTTAACCCTTTAACTTCACATCGTTTAATTATTCTTTTAAATTCAGAATTTTTAAATTTTCCAACAAACTCTTTAATTTCTTTGTCAAATTCCTTATATTCTTCATCAGTTAAATCATTTTTATCCCAATAAGTAGATGCTTTTTCGAGTATAATTGAATATGAATAAATAAAACAATTGGCAATTTCAATTCTTTTTTTAATTAAATCATAAAAAATATTTTCTATTTCGTCAACTATTTCTTTAAATTTTATATAGTTTTTATTTGTTTCATCGCAATTATAAAATGCCTCAGCTTGGTAATAAATACTTTTAAACTGTACAGATAAAAGAGATGCATTAATTCTCATTTCTGCAGTTATACTTTTTTCTAATTCTTCTTCTGTTAGATATAACGATTCTTCATCCTTTTCTTCTAATAAAAGTATTCTCTTATATAAATACCATTGGTAATTATCTTCGATATCATCTTAAAAAGATGAATAATACATTTTTAAATATCATCTTTCTACACTTCCTATTGCCATAAATCCCTTATGTATCAGAGAAGGACCGAACAGCTTTGCCCAGCTTTGTACCATCGGTGAATTAACCCTTAAATCCCCTGCTACTCCAAAATCCCCTATCTTACCAATAATATCTTTCAAACACCTCTCAAGACTATATGAGAGTCTTGAGAGGTGTTTGAAGTTGTATGAACATCTTTTCAATTCAGCCTTAATCCCAGCCCTCAATATTATCGGTGGCTTTTTTCAAGTGCCAGTTTTTTTCTATTTATGGTGAGTATACGTAACTCGTATAAGTAACTCCAGTGATTCGGAAGTTCCAAAATTTTGGCGGTTCAAGTTCCAGTTCTGGAACCGCGTTAATTAATTTTAGCGGTTCCAGTTCTGGAACCGGTTCCAAACCGGTTTTAAATATTTTGGAAGATCATTAAGCCAAAAATCTTGCTTTTCAAGTTGAGTCCTCATGGAGGGATATAGAAGGATCAGAGTGATTAAGAGAGTATACGGAGGGATTAACAGGTATATAAAGGGCTTTTGGGAGATATCGAGGGATTTGAGGGGATTAATAGGTATATGGGAGGGTTTGTGAGGCTTAAGGGGGATATAGAAAGATTGTGAGGAATATCTAGAATATCGGAGGATTAAGGTAATATTGACTACTTGATCCCTCGATGTAACATACTTGTCCCTGATATACTTGTCCCCTCCCCAACATCAACCCCAGCCAAAAATAGCAAATTTCCCGAAATTCCCGAAAATTACCGAAAATCGGGAATTCCCGACGTTTTTGGGTCGGGAATCCCGATTCCCGAAAATCAGGAATTGGATTTTTGTCGGGAATCCCGATTCCCGAAAATCGGGAATTGAATTTTTATGTCGGCTAGATCCCTGGCATACACCTCAGGGATTTATCCGTAATCAGGCCTGTTTATAACGTTTAACTTTCCATAGAAAGATAAAGAAAATATTTTAATCTCCCCATAAATTTTCTATTAGGAAGGTGTCTTATGTATGTTAATCACACCTATGTAGGTATTTTATTCGGGGATAACTAGACATAAAGAATTGATCTTAGGTAGATTTATTATACATATATTCGAAAACCAAACCAATTGGAAACCAAATAGGATATTCAATTTCCAAATTTCCCAATTCGCTTCCAATTAAAATATATAAACGACTTTTTAATCTATAATCATCATCAAAAAAATTTTGTAATTTTCGTGAATTTTTAATTAAATATTTTATTGTTAAATAATGAATATTATGCATTTGTTTATTTTTTGATTTTTCTTCAAACATTTTAACAATTTTATTTGTATTTTCTTCTTTTGTGCAGTCAAATTCTAATGAATAAATGATTGGATCATTCTGAAAATATTTTTTATCAATAAGTATGTAGGGTTGATCGAGTTCGGGTATTAACGAAATCTTAGATTCGGCTCCGGGGCCGCTCTATGTTGGCTCCGGGCTCCTTGTAGAAAATCAATGGATAATATTCTTTCTGGGGGTTTGGGTAGATTAATAGGGATATCGAATGTTATCAGGGGATAAGATGGTCATCAAGGTATTATAATCGGATTTTGGTAGATTATCGTGGGCACTGGCTACAAATTGATAATTAAATAAACTAACAATATTAATAATTTCAGGGAATTTATTCATATCATTCCTCCATAATTCATTACTTAAAAGTATTTTATTTTTCATCCAATTTTCAATAAAACAATGTAACACACAAAATTCTTTTTTTGAATTATTTATTCGTTTTAAAAGTTTTTCTATTCCTAAACTTTCATTAACAAATTCTTCAAATTTTTCAAAAAAGTTTGGAGATATTTGTTGAGACGTTAAATTTATTTTATTTGCAACTTTAAATTATAAATATTTAATTTTTAAGTTGATAAAAGTTTGTTTTTTAAATTAGTTTTAAAATAATTGAAAGTTTCTTAAGAGGGGATTATGGCAAAGTTTACCCAATTTTTTTGGCTTTTGGGACTGATATGGATAAATTTGATAACATTGGGAAACATATACTAATTAAATTAGAATTTAAAGAGAGAGGATCTGTTTTTTAATATTATTTAATTAAATACCATACTACTTATAAAACCAAAAAAATAACTAAAAATATTTTAAAATACCTGAATTAATTAAAGAATCTAGAAATTGTTTGTAATTAAATTTCATTGATTCAATAATTAAATCTTCACTAGGAATTTTATCTTTACACTCGATTGAAAGAAATTCAATAAATAAATTTGTTAATTTTTCTATTTCTTCACTTTCAAGAATTTCTTTATCATTTTTACAAAAAATATTATTTAAAAATAAAAATAATAAAAATAATTTTAAAATAAATAAATTATTCATTTTAACCTAAAAATATATTTAATTAATTTAATTAAATTAATAATTAATAAATAAAAAAAGAAAATTAAATTATATTTAAATTATGAATTTTGAAATTATTTAATAGTAAATAAATAATCGGCAATATCTTTGATGTTAATTTAAATATAAAATCAGTATTATGAAAGAATTATTAAAGGAAATTAAAGTGCATACAAAGTTAATTTTCGATTTTTTTGTAGTGCCGCGCAAAATTAAATAAAAGGGCAAGATACAATTTTTAGTCGATTTTGTAAAAAAAAAGTTTTAAATTGGCATTTTTTGGAGTGTTTATAAAAATAAGGCTACAAATAGTTGAAGTTTAGAATTGAAAGAATGAAAGTTAATAATAACGTCTTTGAAATTATTCAAATTTATGACAAAACTTCTCTATTCCAAACAAAAATTTTTATGCAAATTTTTTCATAATTTATAAGAATATAAATAGAATTTTAAAAAAATAAAAAAAAGTTATTAGAGAATCAATGCTTGCACTATAAAAAATTTTTAGATAACAGATAAATGTAAAATATTAGAGAACAAATAATATGTAAATCATATGATTTTGTTAAAGAAAATTACCACCTCCCATTTTTTGCGAAGGGAGTAAGACGTGGAAAACTAATACAATTATTTCTAGATTTTTATGGATAGTAAGGTCTATTTCGTAGGGTTTTATGGAGGGTTTAGCTTATTTTTAAATTTTAGCTCCATCGTCATCGTTCCTTGACATCATTTATTGGGGTGCTTTGGTATTTTAAAACGATTTACATGCTATCCCGCTGAATCGGTAAAAATGTCACACAACCCTTTTTTTACAACACGATATTAAAATTTATAATTTGATTATGCTTAAATATTTTAATGAATAAGTATATTTCTCATTCCACTTCCCGTTTTTCTAACTTTTTTTTAAATTTGATTTTGTTCTCCTTATTTATATACGAATACAAGAATGAAAATTTGGCCCTGTTTAAAAATAAAAACTTTTTTCCTTTCTTACATGAGAGAAATAGGTATCTTATTTTTTAATGAAATTAATTAAAATAGGTATGTTGATGAGTATTTTTGTTTATTAAATATTCATAAATTTATTTAAAACACATCTTCCTGTCTTGTAATTATTCTTGATTGATTTCTGGTTTCTGTAGGGTTTTTGTGGGTAGTATGTTGTGTTGTTCCTCCAACGTTAATCTGCATTGTTGTTGCAGCAATTCGATTGAGTCGAGACTTAAAAATTAAAATAATACATAACCATAAAATTTTATTAAATACCACACAAAGCATTCTAAGGACATCACGCTGAATCGTGTTATTTAATGATAAATAAACTATTGGTTTTGATCCATGAGCAAAAAACCAGCCAAACATTCCAGTGTAAATAATATATTTATTAATTCGAAAAAACTTTTTTTTAATTAAATTTATATTTAATAATTTAAAAAATAAATTACTTGCATATAAACATAAATTATACCAGCTATTATATTAATAGAACTGATCAACATAACTTGAATGAATATCTAGGAGATGGAAAACATTATAATTTATTTATGTTATTTTTAAGTATTTCATCTACAACTTATATGTAGATCTTTACTACATATAAATTAAAATGTTTACAGCCCGCACTGTTTTGGTAAAGTAATTTCTTCGAAGAAGAAAACGAGAAAAAACCGTCCCTAATATACCGTATTTCTTCTAATAGTGCGACTGACTCTTCTAATAAACCGACCCCCTAGAGGAAGGTTAAAAAATAAACCGACCGATCGCACTATCAGAAAAAATACGCTATCTTCGATCATATTTATTTTCTACAAAAATTATACAGACCTTTTTCTGAGAGCGACTTGTAGATTTTAATGCAGAGACTGATGATCCCTTACAAATTAATATCACAACAAAAAGTAAATAAGATCCAGGAAAGAGTGTAACAACAAGAAAATTGTTGAAACTGACCATTGGATTGTCATACTTTTAAAAAGAATTTAAAAATTCAAATTATTTAAAAAAACAATAGTTCCAAAATCATCAATATATCCAACATGCGGATTATAAAACCAAGAAAAGAGTACTCCACTAAACAATACAGGTTTAAATGTTGGCCCAAATAAAATTCCATAAAATAAAGGTAAAAGCATCCAAAGCCATGTTTTATAACCACGAAAGAGACGCTCGCCGATTGACGGCATTGAAATTTCTACACAACGATTTAGAGCTAATAAAATAGCGGAAAGGGTTTCGTTATACCAAAATACTTAAAAATTATTTTTAAATTCAAAATAATTACAAATTTATACCACAAGCTACCATTCCAGCAATGTAAATTGTGTTTGGAAATGAACAGAAGACAGCCCCGTTCAATGCTTAAAATTATTTCCTTTATTTCAATCATTCCTTCTCATCAATTACCTAAAATTCCCGTTAATAATCCACAAATAAATAAACAAAAAATATCATTAATTCCAATATAAAACATAATTTTATAGCAAGAATTTTCCAAATGTTTTCGAATTGCTAATACACACAAAATATAGAGAAACTTAAAAAAAAAATAATTTTTTTTTAATTTTCTAAATTTTATTACCTCCAAAATAAAAAATAATTGAATAAGAATAACGCCAAGAAAAATATGTTGTCTGTTTTCTAAAGGGATATCCTCAATATTATATAAACTACAATTATATAAACGTTGATATTCTTTTGGTTTAAATAAATATATATCCATTAAATTTTTTAAATTATTTTTAAATATTTTTTTTATTTTTTAATGAAATTTAAAAAAATGAATTAAAAGTATATTATTCATTATTTTTAATATTTAATATCAAAATTCGTCAGCAAATTAAAACAAAAATTTCATTTGTTTTATTAATAATTAAAATCTAAATATTTATTTATTTATTAAAAAAATAACAATATATTAAAGGAAGTATTTTTAATTAAAATTTTTTAATATTAAATATTATCCATTATTATTCTTTTTTGCCAATTATTATTTCCGTTATTTTTGATATTTTATTACTCTTATAAAATTCAACAGGAATTTTTTTTTGGAAAATTTAAATAAAAATCAAAAAAAGTTTAAATTTAAATTAGTAAATATATTTTATAATATTTGACACATCAGTCGGATTAGGAACTTTTAATCTTTTCGAAAATGATTTTCAAAAAATAATAAAAATATTATTTTAATTAAAATTTCCTTTAATATTTTTAAATATTTTATTAATGATGTAAATTACATGTTAAATTAAATTAAAATTTTTTCTGTTTATTTAAAAAAAATTCACATGGACTTTCACTAGACGAATAATAAAAAAACTTTCATTGGGAAAATTTTTAAAATTTAAAAGAAGCACTTATCTTGAACTTTAAGCTATTGCCTTACTACATGATTCACGTGAACTTCACAATATTTTCAATTTAATTTCTTTTTTAATTATCCCGCTCATAAAATGATGCAATATAGAAAAATCAAATATTATTTCAAAAATGAAATATTTTGTTTATGAAAGTGCTGGGAAAATGTCTAATGCCAATTTGGCGATAAAATTTCAATGAAATTAAATAAGACAAATTTATGGCTAAATAAATCCTTTAAAATGCAGTGATTTTGATTAGAATATTAAAGCATTTAAATCATAATTATTGAATATATTCTCTGTTATTTAATTTATACAAGACTTGTTGTTGTATTTTTTGGGTTGTTAGTTGGATGTTTAATTGAAAATGCAAACAATAACATTAGTTATCACTAGAATAGTCTGACTACATGATTTTCTCTAAATTTTTTTATTTTTTAAATATTTTTTTATATTTCTCTATATTATACATATAATAAATTAAATATATCGAGAGTCGAATTTAAAAATAATCAGCTTTAGACTATTCTGTTTATAATTTACCATTGAGCAATTAAATAGGTCCCTTTAATTGGGACCATTTAAATTCATTCTTTTCATTAATAAAAATGTCAAAATATTATTTAAAACAATTTTTAGATAAAATTAAATAATATTTTCTTAAAAATGTTTTATTTAAATATTTATTTAATTATTATATTAATAAATCTTCAACAATATATTTTTGCCGATCAAAATAAATTAATTGTTAAAATAAAATGGAGAGAAAATAAAGAATATAAAAATTATTCTCTAATATCTTCACAACCTCCACGATTTTTATTAAAATTAATTAAAAATTGTAAAGATGGAAATAAAGAAATAGTAGAAATTGGAAGGACTATTTTATATGATTTTTATATTTTTAATTTGTCTGGAAAAAAGAATAAAATGTTGTTAACTAATGAAAAAGAAAGTTGTGAATTTTTTGATAAAATTATGAAATTGGAAGTTTGGCTTAATAATGAGGTAAAAAGACGAATATATTTAATATAAAATAAGCCTACATGCTTTAGTGATGGTCGGGAGAAGAAAAAACCCTGGAAACGGGAGTCGGGAGGCCAAAAACACGGGAAGATTTCCCGACTCGGGAGTCGGGATAACCGAGCATCATTAACATGCTTACATTAAAATTAATAATAATAGAAAGGATTATTTTTTGTATATTTTCTAAGATCATATAAAATATAGGTAGTTAAAATCCATAATAAAAACCTGAATTAATATAATGAAGAATTCAAATCGAATGATTAGAATATAATTTTAATTTTTCCGAGAATTTATCCAATCACTATAATTGTAATATACACATTTAGATTCACATTACAAGTTTCCCAATCGTCGGTCTAAACAAGATAATCACAATAAACACAAATACATCCTACAAAGTAGAGGAATATAATTACCAAAAAGAAACAGAATTTTTAAATCCAAGGCGTTTAATAAAATTTATTGTAAATAAATTCGAAAACAAAACACCAACAGAAATGAGAATTGAATGTAGAAATAAAATAAAAATTTTAGAATTTGATCCAAAAGAGGATAATGATATTTATGAAAGTTGTGAAGCTAAAGTTTCGGTTTGCTCAAATGATGAATATTTCCTTTATTATGAAATTGAAGGAAATGAAAAGGTAAAAAATAAATTTTTTTTAATTTTTCTTTTTAGAAAATTGAATTACAATGTGAAGAAGCATTTCATGAAGATAATAAAATAAATATTTATTTTATTAATATTGAAATGATTGCAACATGTAAATTAATCTCGTCGGAAGAATTAACGTCTTTCTCCTCTCAAAATTTTGAAAAAAATAAAAATAAAGCAAAATGTATTGAAGAGAATAAATTAAAAGAAGATTGTGAAAATATTCAAAGATTTTTAGAAGCTCCATTGGATGATGGGGTGCTAAAAATTTCAAACTACTATACAAATCTAGGACAGCCAAGTCCAAACACTCCAACTTCAAAAGGTATAAAAATTAATTTAATTTTTTTATCGAATGTGGGTTATAAATACATACATAAATCTAATTTTTGTAACAGTTGATATTTATTAATAGAAATAGGGAAAATGGATAAATATGTAAATGTGAATAAATAAAAAAATAAATGAACAAGAAAAATTATTTATAATAAATTTATTAAAACCAACTAAATAAATAATAAAAAAATATATTTTAGTCTCTCTACCAACAATCACTAACATTAATTCCAACCCTATAGAAAGTCAAGCAAAAACATTTTATTCTACCTCTTCACAATCAAATAAATTAATCCATGACCAATTAAATCAACATGGAAATAATTGGCAGCAAATTTTACAGCAAAATTCTTTGGGGGACTCTTCTTCTTGTTTAGGCCAAATTGGCCAACAATGTCAGCCAAAACCTTTTCCTCGAATTCCTTCTTTCCAAGCTTCTTCATCTCGCTCACACAACAATTTTAGCACAGATCAAAACCAACAAAATATATTTCATAAACAAAATTCATTCCAAGAATCGTCTCACACAATTAACAACCCTATACAAGGACAACTATTTGGGACATCTTCCTCTTCCCAAAGAATTCCTTCTGTTCAAATACTTTCTTCAAGAAAAACAAATAGCGAACCAATATTACACCTTCAACAAATTAACCAACAACACCTTCAACAAATTAACCAACAACACTCCCAACAACACCCCCAACAACATTCTATTAATTACCCAAATCAACATCAACAACTCTTTACTTTATCTATTCCTACTCCCAAAAATATATTTCCAACTAAACAACAAGCTATTTACAATTTTACAAACGATTATTTTGGAAGTAATAGAACACCCAATCAAAACTCACCTTTTAATCAACAAATTCCTTCGAGAGGGAGCACAACAAATTTATTTGCAATGGGAAATAATCATTATGGAGGTAAAAAGTGAAATTTTTTAATTTAAAAATTTGGAAATGTAATTCATTCTGAGTGATAATTACTCAAAATTTATTTGTTCATAATTTAAGGATTGCCATTAGAATCGCCAACAATGACTATCAATCAAAGAAATAATTTACAATTAGAACATCAAATCCAAAACCCCCTCCAAAATAAACGTCCACAAAGCATTTCAATAAGTTCTTCAACTAGCAATAGTAAAAGTACCTCAACTGATGGGGGGGATAAAAACAATAAGGAAATGATTGAAAAAATTGTCTGTGATTTACAAACAACAATTCAAACAATTAGACATCAAATAAACCAAAATAATGAGCTTTGTAAACACCTTACAGAATTAAAAGAGAAAAGTTTACACCAAAAAACATCACAAGAAGCATTAATAAATCAGAATGTAAACATGAATCGAATGGCAGAACATAATACACAACACAATTTAATTGGAAACGTTGAGGAACAACATTTACAACACTTTGAGGACCCATTATTATTTCATAATGTTGGAGAACACCATAACAATAATTTATTTAATAATATGGAAGAATTACAACAGAGCATAACAAGTAACGTTGAGGAACAACATCTTCCTCATCAACAAAACATTGAAGAAATATTCGGAACAAGTTCAGAACCAAGCATGTTAAACTTTGAAGAAGCAGCTCAACAGAATATCACGAGAAAAAGAAACGTAAACAGAAAAAGAAAAAATTGAAAAACTTTTAATTTATAAGAAAATATGAAAACACACCAAAAACACTGTTGGCAGTTCTTGGGAAGACTCTGGATATCTAAAACCAAAGCCGATATTCAAACCAAAAAATTCCGAATACCCTAGGTTTTTTCCGTTCCTTATTTCGATATAAATATACTTTAATGGGGATCCAGTTGGCTAACATTTCAAACCTTTAGGGGCGTTTAAGATCTAGTATTTCCTATCTTTATCAAAATTTAAATTGAAGCGAGAAATTGGGGGAATTTACTCAAAATGAGAATCTGAATCTTGAAAGGTTGATTTCTTTCAGAGATAATTAAACTAGGAATTCGAACAAATTTAAATAAAATTGGAAATTGTTAGAAAAGGCCTCTGCCCTGGGTTAAGCTTTTACTTTCTTAAAATATGTATTTTTCCTCCTCAATAATGAACTTATTTATTTCACCTTTATTAATATTTCCTATTATTAATTAATAATTAAAAATAATTATTGTATATATACAAAAACCAATCTTTTTCTTATAAATTTTTTAAACAAAAACAACCAAAAATTAAAATACACTCCGCGTCAAAATGATAGCTCCACCCCTAAATTCTATTTTTATTTCCGAATTTGTGAACTAAAAAATATCAGATTTTTTTCTAATATACCTCCTATCAAGACAAGCTTAAAAACATACAAAACAGAAAAAATTTCATCAAAAATATTTTAGAAAAGTTCCAATACATGTTTTTGTGGTGCGTCAAAATGATAGCTCCACTTTTAAAAAGCTTAGTTAGGGGGCAGCTAAAATTCCCCAAAAATTTCTGTGAACTTATCTATCAATAAATAATAAAATATAAAAAGAACGAAGTCGAAAACTATCAAGATCACTGAGATCTGAAGCCCCCTTTTTCAACGGGAAATGGGGGTACAGTACTTCAAAAAATATTTTCGACCCCTTAGGGTAGGTGTAAAATTTTTCTTTTATACTCGACAAATAGCCAATAAAATTTGCTATAAGATGCAGAAGGACCCATCCTTCTAAAAAATTTGTCCGGATCAGCGTTCAAGCTAGAAAAAACGATAGCTAAAAACAGTGCATTTTTAGGCTATTTCTGGGCAGCAGTTATTCCAGCCTGAACGCTGATCCGGACAAATTTTTTAGAAAGATGGTTCCTTCTGTATCTTATAGCAAATTTTATTGGCTATTTGTCGAGTATAAAAGAAAAATTTTACACCTACCCTAAGGGGTCGAAAATATTTTTCGAAGTACTATACCCCCATTTTCAGTTGAAAACTAAGGTTTGAGATCTCTGTAATGAAGATAGTTTTTGACATCGTTCTTTTTCTATTTAGGATACCTATCGATAGAAATGTTCACAGAAATTTTTGGGGAATTTTAGCTGCCCCCTAACTAAGCTTTTTAAAAGTGGAGCTATCATTTTGACGCACCACAAAAACATGTATTGGAACTTTTCTAAAATATTTTTGCTGAAATTTTTTGTTTTGTATGTTTTTAGGCTTGTCTTGATAGAAGGGATATTAGAAAAAAATATGGAAAATCTAAAGCACTAGTTAGTAAATAAAAATCGAAAATCTAGGTGGAGCTATCATTTTACGCGGAGTGTATTTATATAATTTATATTTATTTACATATAATTATTATCTTCTTCTAATTGGCGGTGGTTTCCCTTGAGAATCACTCGTTTGAGGAAGTAATTCTCCATCACTTCCAACTGTCCCAATCCCTTCCTCAACATTTTCTGTCCATCCTTGTTCAATATGAATTTGGGGAACATTATGTGTTGTTGAAGTAAAAGAGGATATTATATTGTGTTGCCTTTCAAAAGTTGAGGAAGAAGGTGAATTATTACAACAAGGGCAACGTTCTAGTGATGGTACTTCTTTGCTTTGCTGTCTAAAAATAGACTGGCGTTGGCCTTGTTGTTTATGATTAGCTAATAGGTGAGAAGATTGTGATAATGTTGTTGGTTCATCGTTAAGTCGTAAAGGCGGGACTTTAATAAATTAAAAAATAATAATATTAGAAGGATTTCTAAGCAAAATCAAGAGAAAATTTTCTGTTAAAGGTTTATTATAGGGTTGTTAGCTCACTCGAACCGAACTCGAAAGATCGAGCGAGCCGAGGGCTTTTCATCTCGAAAAACTCGAAAACAACCGAAGCGTAAAAACCCAAGCTCGAAAAAATGCAGCGAACGTCAGTTCGAATCAGAAACGCCAACCCTATTTATTTCCATTCGGATGACTTAATTGAATTCAAAAATTTTTCTCTTTTTAAAATATTTAAATTTTTTATAAAAATTATCTCATACTTTGGGGTGTTGTTAATTTAGACTGAGGTATTAAAATTTGTGGAGAATCTTCTAGTTGATCACCTCATCCACCCTTTTCCATAGATAATGAACGTTCACGAGAAGACCGTCTCAATTTTGAGGCATTTCGAAGAGTTGAGCGATATAATAAAGTATTACTATTATTTCTTTCAGCATGAGGGGTGGGAGAAGTAAAAGAAGTTGAATAATATTTTGGAGGAATGTTTGGATCATTTATTGGAGGAATTAAGGCGAATCGAGGTATTTGATGTTGTTGGTGATGATCTGTAGTTTTTAATTTGGGTACAGCATGTGGAGTGTAGATATAACGATCTAATTAATTAAGAAGGTAATTAGAATGGTGGCCATTCAATTAGGATAAATACAGTGGACAAAATTAGAAGTTACAGTAGAAACTATTTTGTTTGTGAATGCCAAAAGGAAACAGGAAAAGGAGGCCCTTTAATAAGTCAACCTAATTAAAGGAAGGCCCTTATATGTATTTATTAGTCAGTAATACTGATTTATGTTTTCAAATCTGTATTTTTATTTTAATAATTTCAAAGTAATTCTTACTAAAAAAAAGAATTTTTTACTTATACAGTGTGTCCAATAATGATACGTCCGCCCTAATTTTTAGCGATTTTTATATGTTATTGGTAAAAAATCATTTTGATATTTTTTATAATATTTTAGTGTACTAAAATATTAAGATTAAAACTAGTATTCCGGATTAAATATCTATTAGAAAAATTTTAATAATCATTTTATCAAAATAAGGTGTCCAAAAATGATACGTCCACTTTACAAAAAAGGTATTTCCAACATTAAGAAAAATCTACAAAAATTCCAGTAAACATGTATATTGATAATAAGAGAAAATAAAAAAGAACTAGGCCCATAACTTTACCCGAAGTCGAGATCCTGTTACCTATAATATCAACGTAAAACAGGGGTAAATTTTTTTAAAAAATATTTTCGACCCATTATAAATTATTTCGAATTCTCATTTTGGGTTCATTCGAAAGCCCACAAAATTTGCTACAAAAAACACTTAGTCCTATCCTGTAGAAAAATTCTACCGTCGAGGAGCCTTGGATTAATTGAGAAGATTAATAAATTAACACAAATTAGCCCATAAATTGTCATTATTTCGAGTTTCTAAATTTAACCTTAGTCTCCTCGAAGGTAGAATTTTTCTCCAGGATAGGACTAAGTGTTTTTTGTAGCAAATTTTGTGGGCTTTCTGGAGGGCCTGAAAAAAATTTTTATACAATACCTAAGGGGGTTAAAATATTTTTTAAAGTATTGTAAGCCCATTTGCCGTTGATTTTCGAGATTCTGGATCTCTATCAAAAAAGCACTTATATACTTCATTCTTTTTGTTTTTCTACTTATTATTAATGGAAATATTCACAGGAATTTTTGCAAAAATTTTCAGCCATTTCTAATATGATTTCTGTTAGTTTTTTAAAAGTGGACGTATCATTTTTGGACACCATATTTAGATAAAATAGTTTAAACAAGTTGAAAAACTGATAATTAATTCAGAATACTAGTTTTAATCTTAATATTTTAGTACACTAAAATATTATAAAAAATATCAAAATGATTTTTTACCAATAACATATCAAAATCGGTAAAAATTAGGGTGGACGTATCATTATTGGACACACTGTACGTACGTGGCGGAAAATTACTTTGGGAAAAATTTTCTCTTCACGTTTTATGTTCTACCAAAAAAAAACTTTTGGCTATTTATTTTTGTGTATTTTTGTAGCCTTATTTAATACTTACTAAATGGAATTTAATATTTTCTTTAAATTTTACCTTCTTCCAATTGTTTTCCTATCAAAGTTTCCAACATTCTCTCCAGCCTACTCAATTTATTTAAAACCCCAGACATTTCTATTCTTTCACTTCCCCCATCACAATTTCCATCAAGAGAATTTCCATGTTCCATAATTGTATTTATTTCGTTCTGAACTAAATGAATTTCTTCTTCGGCTCGAGTTGAAGCTATACGGGCTTTAAATAAATTTTAAAAAATTATTTATTTTAAGAAATGAAAGACCACCAGCATGTCGTTCCTGCATTCTTTGAAGTAATTTCCGAATTGGATGGTCTGTTGCTATTTCCAATTTCTCAATTTTTCGCCTTTCTTCCAATTCTTGTTCTCGTTTTACATCCAAAACTTTACGAAATTTTATCTTAAAAATTATTTTTTTTGTTTTTATTTAAATATATTTACTCGATTTGTCAAATTGTAAGTTAATACTAAATTTCGAGCCAATGAATTTGCAAAAGGCTTGTAAAAGCTTAAAACTCTTAAGAAAAAATAATTTTAAAGAAATTTTGGGAAAAAATGAGACTTACTGAAGTAATGGTTCTCTTTTGATGAAATGCTTTAAAAATAAAATTGTATTGAACAGAAACAATAGATATTTTTGTTAACATCACCCCAAGGGCGTATCCAGGGGGAGGGCTGAGGTCTGAAGCCCACTCCCCCTCCCAAAATGGGGGAAAGGGGGAAAATTAGGAGAAGATGGTCAAAAAAGTGAATTTTTTTCGCCTTCAACCTTCAAATTTCAAAAAATTTCCCTCTCCCCCTTTCATTTTCAAACAAACATAATCAGTTTTTTTCAGAATATAAAATATTTACATAGAAAATTAATTTTTTTATTATAAATAAATAATTAACCAAATCAGAATAAGTTAATGCCTGAACCATACACGATGATTGACCGGTTCTATTGTGTTTCCAAAATTCATCTCCAAAAACATCTCCCTTCCCGAGTATAGCCACAACTTCATCATCCTTTTTTTAATTAAATAATTAATCTAAAATTATTTATTTACCTGCTTAACCTCCAAAGATCCTTGAACTACAAACCATAAAGCATCTACAGATTCACCTGTATGGTAGAGAAGGTCGCCTAAAATTAAATTTTTTTTTGATTAAAAAAATTTTTTTTAATTATTGATGTTAATGGGTGACAAAACAAGTAAATCCTCCCTCCAAAATAACATTTAAAATTACCACAAATAGGGTTGGGGTTTTCGAGTCGGGCCGACGTTGAGTCATTTTTTCGGGCCTCATTTTTATCGGGCTGGCTGACCGAGTCTTTTTAGGGCCAAATGCCCGACCCAATCTTGCGGACCGGTCCGGATCGAGCCCTCAACCCTAACCACGAAGAACGGACCACGACGATTAATTTAAGTTGAGGTTACTTATCAAGCCTCCCCCCCCCCTCCAAAATATCAAGGTATATTTAATTTTTTCGGTTTAATTATTTGCCTGGTGCCGCATGTATAGTTTCCATATTTGTAGCAAATGCCCTTTTACATCCATCAGACATTAATTTAAAACAAATGTGTTCATTAAAAACTTTTCTATTCATATGAACACACTAAATAAAAAATTTTTAAAAATATTTGTTAATTTAAAAAAAACAATGTCAGCCCGCATATCTTTCGGGCAAAAGCCAAGAACTTTATTTGATTCAATTCCTTTACTTATTGTCCAGGTCGAAACAATATAATCAACTACTTTTTCTGCCAAATCTTTGGGAATTTCTTGAAGACGAATAAATTCCCGAACATCGCTAATCATTTGATGATATCTTAGAGAAAAAGATTTTTAATCAAAAATTAATTCAACACCTCTGTGTAGAGGAAGTCATTTGTTGTATTATTGTAGTCATATGACCAAAAATGGCTGCATACAAAAGTGCAGAAATAATCATCATACAACTAAAAATATGTAAAATTTAAATTTTAAAAGGATTTTGATATTAAAAGTTGAAAAAAACTTCTCTCAAATTTATCTATATATTTATTTATTTCGGTAAGATAACTGAATAAAGGAATTGTATTAATTATTAGATAGAAGATGGATTGAGATATTTTTCTCGAAATTCGATTTGATGGATCTGGGAAGACTTTCGTATATAAGGAATCGAACCTGATCCCGAACCAAAACTTAAAAAACTTTTTTAGATCCAAATTCATAGACTTTACTAAAAATAAAGGTAAGACCTTTAAAAAACTCTGAAAGTGATTCAAAAATGGCATTCTTCGAGAGAGATCTCTCTCTTTCTTCATAACGTAACGTAATAATTATTGACTCTGATTCCCTATTTGGCTCTACTTTGTAGCTGATCCTACTTGTTTATTCTATTTTAAAATTATTAAAGAAGTACAGAATATACTAACATTCCGAATATTTTTTCATTCATAGTTGTACTTGCAATATTTCCAAACCCAACGGTGGACATACAAGACATTGTAAAATATAAAGAAGACACATAACAATGTGTTTTATCTGGACCTCCAACTAATCTACTTAGATTTGAAGCACTCGAATTAAATGGCATTTTTAAGTCATATGAAAGACGGATTAGCCAACTAAAATTTAAAATTTTTTAAAAAAATTTTCTTTAAAAATACCCATCAGCCAAAGTCTGTTCTTGAAGAAAATGAAATTTATTTCTAGCCTCGTATTCACCAATTACATACCAAATACAGGCCATCCAGTGAGCTACAAGAACATAGGCACAGAGTAAAAGTAAGAGAGTTGCTGCACCATATTCCAAATAATTATCAAGTTTACGGGCAACTCTTCCTTTAAAAAAATTTTTTTTAATTTTTTTATTTGATAATGTTATCTCAACAATATTTTTAGACTATTATTTATCTGTTAATTTAAATAAAAATTCACACCAAGTCGGAGAAGTCGGACAACTTTTAGGGCACTAAATAGAGAGGCAATTCTCTACAGAAAAAATATTTTTTATTAAAAAATATTTAACAATCAACTTCATCATCCTGTTTAAACATATAAAATATATCATAAGGCAAACAAGAAAGTAAATCAATTAAAAACCAAGACTTGAAATAATTATGTCTAATTGCTTTTGGGTCTATTACTACCTTAAAAAATATTTTTAATGAATAAAAATATTTATTAATATTTTTTATTCGAACTTCTCCAACGGGGCCAACAAATGTTGTATGGAAATTAAGTAAAATATCAGCGAAAAAAATAACATCAACAACAGAATCGAGTAAAATAACATAGTCAATACCTTTAAAATCTAATGTTAATTTCAAAATTATTTTTAAAACCCAGAGGCGTTGGATCTCGATGACGGAAGGCAATATTGAATGGCACCATGAATGCCTTAAATAAATATTAAGGCTTAAATTCTAAAAAATATTTACTGTATAAAATGTGAGCGCCAGAATTGACCAGTCCCAAACTTAATTTAAGAAAATTTTTATGAAGGCAAAAAAATAATTTTTAAATGATTATTAAAAATATACTAAAATTTAAATAAAATATAGCCTACCAGTTTTACTTGTGGAATAATGGAGGATGACTAAAAATAAAAAAATATGGGTCCAAAAATATTTATGTATATTCTTAGAATTTTTAAATTATTCGTAAAAATTAAATGAACTCAAAATAATAATAATTTAATTAAAGATTTTTATTTAAAAATTTAAAATTTAAAATCACTGTGTGGTGATGTTTTTGGTGTCTCGTGTCTATATTGTGGCAACACATCTCCTCCCAAATTCATTAGCTGCTTGATTGTGCGATTATTATTTTTCATAGAATTTTATTTTTATTTTTTTAATATTTTACTTTAAATTCTTTTTAAATTAATTATATAAAAAATTTAAATTTTCTTTCATTTTTTTACCTGATTAAAATTAGAGCCAATAACACTTTGTGCCGGTTTAAGATCTTTCGTCTCGATATGATTAGGAGTAAATTGCTGTCTATATTTGGCTACTCTGGCAATTTGTAAAATGCGTGAAAGACCAAGGACTGGTTTTAAATAAAAAATAAATAAATAGAAGAAATCCTTTAATTATTAATAAATATTTTTAAAAGGTGTCCAAAACTCATTAACATTTACTAGTATATTTTTGTGTTATGGATATTGAGTAGTTAAATATAATTAAAATTTTATGGCAAAATTCTCATGACTTAAATATAATAATTTTTTATTTATTTTTAGATAAAGTACTGGACTTTTTCAGTAGGAAATGTTAAATTTAGACCGCTCAGATAAGAAAATTAATTAAATTCAATAAATCTACTTACTTTTATTATTTTCGCCCTCTAACGGTTCCTTGAGAGGAGTAATATCCTTGAATTGACACAAATACAAAACTACCTAAGTTCAGTTAAAATTAAAATTTTACTAAAAATTATTTAAAATCACTTTATTTTTAATATCAATTCCCCCACTCCCTCCAACTTTTGCCGAGCCAGTTTTCTTTTCTGTTGTTTCTGAATGACCTCCCCCAACACCTGCTTCAGTTCCTGCACTCCCCATTATTGGCTATATTTATTTTTAAATTAAGTATTTTTTAAATATAATAACATACAGATATATTCATTAATAACCAAACATTCGTCTCTGAGCAAAAAAAATAAAATAAATTATTTAAATAAGATTGGCAATTTCAAATTTTAATTTATTTTAAAAGACAGATTTTTCGAGATAAAAAAATTGATAAAATCCCAGTTTTATTTTATCCAAATTTTCAAAAAAAAATTTTTTAATTTATTTACTATTCTTTTTGCAAAGGCCAATTTCAACTTGCTCTGTTTTTGCATTTTCTAAAGCATTTTGAATTTTTTGAATTGCTGACTAATAAATTTAAATTAAAAAATAAAATTGTTAAAATTTTATTTTACAGTGTCTGTGTGGTCGCTGTACATAAAGGAAAGACTAAAGAATAGATTTTTTTGAATTTTAATAAAAAGAAAAACAAACGATGCATTCTTTTGCATTGTTTCAGCACGACTATAACCAATCATTTTTGAAAAACTTCAAAGAAAAAATTTTTTGATACCGAAAATATTCAAAAAAAAACAATTGTAATTTTTGATTTTAATTTCCCTAACCGCTTTTTCTGTCCTCAATTTACTTCAATTTCTTAATAATTTCCTCAAAACGAGAGAAAAAAAATTATTAGGAACGTTTACAAATAAGTAAGTTTTGAATCCATTTCATATAAATATGATGTATTAATTTAATTTATGTACATATTTAAATGACAATTCCTTTATTAAGGACTGTTTAATTCAGTATTTGAAACCCTGGACCAAAATCGTAAAAAATTTGGAACACTAAATTATTTTGAAACACTATTTGAAATTCATAGTTAAATTGAGGACTGGAAAAAAGGGAAGAGGATCGGAATCCAAATTAACAAAAAATTCCTAAACAAAAAAATTTATATAGGTTTTAATGTCAAAATTTAATATAAACAAAAAGTATAATTAAATTATAATTTCCTCCAATTAATAAAACTTTATAACACAAACCCTTCATTGCAATAAACAATGGGATAATCACAAATTTGAGCATTTGCCAGGATAAAAGAGGATTCTATTTAAAATATTTTATTTAATGATTTTAATAGAAAATATTTAAATTTTTAGGAAATAATATATAAATTAAATGTTTTTAAAGGAAAAAACAATTAAAATTACCAGTATTATTACAACGTCTAATAACAGAGTCAAGGAAGAAATTTTGGGGTGCTACAAGACCTCGCCTTGCTACCATTATTATATTAATTTATTTAAAATTTTATAAAAGGCAATAGGTAAATGATAGAAAATCTATTAATAACATCAAATTATATTGTTAATTTATGTTGACTATAATAATTAGACAAAATCTGAAAATTAATTAAGTTTTAATATTTTTGTAGTAAATACTTAAATATACATATTATTAAATAAATATGAGGTCGAAATTGGAGGCGGTACGAATTACGAATAATTCGGAAATTTCTAAGCACTGATTCGGAAAAATTAATTTAAAAAATTTTTTACAAACAATAAGAAGCATTTTAAAGCAAAGATTCCGAGCCCATCTTCAGAAATACAAAATGTTATGGATTCTGAAAGTTCTCTTACCATTTAACTTTACAATACTAACTTGAAATTTTTTGATTAATAACTAAGTTGAGGAGGGGCCTTACAATTATAGAGAATTTACATATACCTAAATTTAATAGAATAAATCTTTTAAAAAATAATAATTTCTGCTTTTAACCATAAATTAAAAATAAATGTTAATCCCTTATTTTTTGTCAATAATCATTTCTTTTTTAGTTAAGTAATCTGTGCCGTCAGAAATTTTAAAGTAAGACGGAATATTATTTTTTAATAAAATGAGTGTTTTTAAATGGCGTTTATTTGTATAATTATGAAGAAAAAATAAAAATTAAAGTTTAATATATTGTAAATATGTTCGTCATAATAATTTCAAAAAATAATTAAAAATAAATACATTTTGGCGAGATTAAAATTCTATGTTATGGATTCTGAAAGTTTAATGGGAATTTCTCGTTCAAAATGAAGCTAAAAAATTTTTTAACAGGATCAAGAAATAAATCCTGCAAAACAAAAAATGTGAGAGTTTGATCCAGTAGTTCGCACCGATCACTAATTAAAACAAAAATAAATGTAACGCTTATTTAAAGGTATTTAATAAATAGAAGTATTTTAAGCTAGGGTAGCAACCCGACCCTTTGGGGCGGGTGTGTCGGGGGTCGGGGTTTACCAGGTAAGGCATGTCGGGGTTCGGGGTCGGGGTTTCGAAGTCGGGTTGCTACCCTAGTTTAAGCAATAAACTATCAATCCTCTAAAATATAGCAAAAATATTCGATTGTTAAAATAATTTTTCTAACATAAAGAATTTAAAATTAAAAAAATAAGAGTAAAACAATAAAAATAACCATATATTATTGAACTAGAACGGCAATAAAGAAGAAATAGCTTTTAGAATTTTGGCATAAACCCCTTTCCCTTTTAAGTAAAATAAGAGGTAATTGTTATTTTTGAGGTATTATTGCACTGCTGCCGTTTATTATTTCCCAATCCATTGTTGTAAACCAAAATCCCGTTAAAGTGAGTAAAAAATATTTAGAAAAAGAGGCAAAAATATTATTAATATGCATTTTCTCCTCTCACCTTTAACACAGCCTTATTTTTTTAAATACCCCATTTTTGCCAATTCTTCACAACAAATATTCTTTTAAGTACTTTTTTTATTTTCACTCAATTTTTTCAGGAAAAAGCAGAAACTGAGCCTTTTTAGAAAAAGGGTCAAAGGACAAACAATATTTATTTTGGATAAGTAGAAGGAATGGAAATATAATTTTTTTATTTTTTTAATAACAATTAAATAATTTTAAATATGTAAAAATTAACAAAAATAAATTTAACTAAATAACAATAAAATATAATTACTAAATATGTGAATACAATGTACATATTTTTTGAATTTTTCATTAGTATTAAAGTTCCCAAAAATATTCAAAAAACTGTTCAACTCTCGAAATGGCGAGAAATATAAATGGAAATAAAACTCTCTCTTGGCAACAAAAATATTTTTTGAATTTTCATAATTTAGAAAAAATTTAAGCTTGGCCAGCTTAATAATTATAATTAATTTGTATATTTTGTTATAAATAAATTAAAATATTATTTTTGAGAATTGTTTCCATTTATTTTACTTTACTAAACAAGTAAAAGGTTTAGAAATATTGAGAAAGGAAGGAATAAAAAAAGATATATTTTTTTCAACAAACCATTTCGCGCAATATGTACATACAATTTTATTTTTTATAAAAAAAATATATTAAATGTCTGTCAATAATATTTTTAAAGCTTTTGCTTTCTCTAACATGCTAAAAAAGTGGAGGTAATTTTTTGTAATTTTAAGAGGACTATTTATGGAGTTATTTTATAGTGCTTCCCCAAAATACTTTTTTCTTAATAAATAACTGCTTATACATAAGTCTATTAAATTAATTTTGCTTTAAATAAAGTCACGGAAATATTGGAGAACATTTTATACAAGAAAAGTAATTTAACGTAATTTTTCTTTTATATTCGATCAAAGGGAAAAGAAATATGTTTTGGCATCAATATATAGTTCAATTAAATGTACAATTAAATGAAGTTTTGAAAATAACAGATTTTCAGAAATTATAAATGTATTTACAAATATTAAAATAATTTTTACAAAAATTATGAAGAATACTTCATTAATTATAACTATAAAAAAATATGAATTTTGGTTTAGAGAACCCCTTTTTAGTGTTTCTAAATAATTGAAGGAAAAATATTCAAGCAAATGAGAATTCCATTAAAAAACATTTTATACATCATAAATACCATTCCTTTAATATAAATATTTAAGTATCTACATATATCCATTACATACTCCTGTTTATGAATTGCCTAGCAACCAAACAAAAACGTCTTAGGATGTTGGAAGATAATGACACTTTTAAATAATAACTACACCTTTAAAAAGGGGGATAAACTGAATTTTTTGAATGATGAAACTTTGCAATATTGATCAATTCTTGTTTAAATTGATTATAGATTTTTGTTAAAAAACAATATACTATTTAGTTGTCTTAATTAGAATTTTAATATTATTATAATTTACATATGTTTATTAAATAAGAAAAATAAAATAGATATCAGTTCTCATTTAAAATTCAAAATTATTACAAAAAATACTTATATTTTTAATACAAAAATACAACATAAAACAAAAACTTTTAAATATGAAGTTAAAATATTTTAATAGTAACTTTGTCTTTTATTAATTTAAAACTTAACACTCAAAGGAAATTAAACACGTGAAAACTAAGTGAAATAAAATATAAATCAGTAATATTTTCCTAAAATGTCGAACTTCGACAATAATATTATCCATTGATTTTCCACGCGGAGCCCGCATCAAACATGGATAGTGGGCGATATCATGGAATTTCGGCAAAGTAAGATTTTCGGCGGGCTGTCAGCAAAATCGAGGTCGAGGTTTGAAATTACCGGTACTAAGAAGGATTAATCAGCTTGGATTAATCAGTTAATCAGCTTCTTCTACTAAGAACTAAGAAGAAGCTGATTAACGAAAATAACTTTGATTTGATGATGATCACACGCATTACTGTCAACTAATGCCCAATAGCAGCACGGATGATGAATAGTTTTTAGTAAAAGTATTGTTTCTATTAAAATTATGTTAAATACTGTTTTAAAAAATTACTCGATTATTCGAACGCGAACTCGACCTAAAAAGTTGAACTCGGACTCGGGTTTTTCAAACTCGGCATACTCGAGCTGGACTTTTTCCCAATTACCGGTACTCGAAGTACTCTATTTTATGGGTGTATCTTTAGCCTCGGTCCTCGGCAAGGTTCTTGGCAAGGACCGAGACCGAGGTTCCAAGACGCGAGGTCAGCAAAATCGAGGTTGAGGTTTGAAAATGGGCGAGGACCTCGGCCTCGACCTACTCCAGTTAGAACAAGAGAAATGGAAATCAAGTACACGGTTCCTTGTGGTCACTCCTAAAATGCCGGAGAAAGGATAGGATATAGTTCCCGTTCTTATTCTTACGCTTGCTTTAGAAAAATTAAAATTTCGAAACAGATCTATTAGACTTGGGTTATTAATCGTGATAGGACTCACGAGTTTAATTGTGTAATAAAGGAAGAGGGGCGAAGAGTGATGAAATAAACAAAGAGGAGTGAAGATGGAGCGTAAAAAAGAGGGGAGATCTCGACTGGCTATAGAGAGAGAGCGTAAAAAAGAGGGGAGATCTCGACTGACTATAGTAAAGCAAGCGTCGAATTAGTTTAATTAATTCATTTATTATTATATTAATTAAGTCAAAATGTTAAAACAATTTGTTTAAAATTAATTTTGTTAATTTACTCTAAACAAGTATTTTGCTCTATTGGAAGACATTTCTTCCAACATTGAGGCAATAGATGAAAATATAATTTAACAAATTACTTCAACTCTAAACAATGCCAAAAATTGTTTTGACCCAGAAAAATGTGTCAATACATTTCTGAATGAATGGCTAATTTTGATGATTTGGCCCGATTTAAAGAAATTTCTACTTTTTGTAAAAATTCTAAAATAAGCTTTAGCCTGGAAATTAATGATCTAATCATAGCTAGATTTTACAATAATACTGAACCTTTCCAAACAACTAGTTTATATTAGACTAGTTGTTTATATTTTTCTTCTCCCTCATATTTTATGCTCCTAATCGTGAGTTTTCTTAGAAATTGTTCTACAAGGTAAATACGGTAACTTCTCAGATATCTTTGTATTTACAAAGCTCGCTAAACATCAGGAATAATATGTAAAATAAAATTAAATACCGTATTTGCTCTAATTGAATGACTCCTCTATTTGAATGACCCTTCTAATTGAATGACCCTTTTTTGAGGCTATTGAAAAATAAAATGACCCGCTCTATTTGAATGACCCCCTAATTGAATGACCCTTTTAGAGGTGAAAAAAGCCTGAACCTGTTTCTGGACTCATTTATTACCTGGGTCCAGGCCAAGATGTCGGGTTTTTAGATTTACAATAAATTATCAAATTCAATTAAATGGTAATAATATACATGGGGATTAAGAGGGATATTGAAGGATTTAAATGATATCCAGGGATTTAAGGGGTTTATAAAGGATTAAGGTGAATAGATGTGAAATAAGGTGGATATCAAGTAATTTAGAGGGA